GAAAAATACTGGCATGCCCAACCAGCCCTCAATCGCCACCACTTTCTCTGGTATCTTCCTTCTAAATCGGTATCTCAACCAAATCGCCGCAGAAGCTCCACCAGTTTCATCCGCCTTTGTGTTCCTAGCGACTCTGTCGCCCAGGTGAAACGACATGCAGCCCTTACGTGGAAATGGCAGCTGGATGAAAACATCGACCCCCGCTCCCAACAACATCCCGACGCTACGAAAGCAGCTTTAATTCACTATCTCCGCACCAAGCGGGAGGCCCGCTGCACACATGAACGAGCGCCAAAAATTCTTGCCCGCAGCATGGATGCACTACTGAGCCCACTTGTCAACTCCACTAACGCAGACATCCTCCAATCTACCGCGGACCGTCTCCAGAAGGCTTACCAAGCAAAGCACGATAAAAACCTCTTCTCACTTAACCCGCGAATCCCGGTAAACGTTAAAGAATCAGCGCGTGCGGAACCCGGACGACTTCATATACCAACGGTCTCCCCGACACAATCATCCGACACGATGGATAGGAATACGCAGCCTCAGCTTTCCACGACGGACTCTTCGACGACAGGCAATGATATAGAAATGGCTGACATCGTCAAAGAGGAGAGCCCAGTAGTATTGACCGATAATGAACAATGTTAGGCCCAATGAGGATGACGCTCTTCAACCCACAAGGACTCAACATGGACAACGCAGCACATACAGATAAGTGTTTGAACTTTATATCGATTTTAAGTCAGGTTGATGTTATGTGTGTGGTTGAAACCTGGCATAACACCACAATTTTTAATCATATACGCTCGAACACACACCACCATATCCTACACCACACTACACAGCATAATATCTTACACCCTTCACACTGTGGTATTGGCATCTTTTTCAAACACCACCCATCGAATTTTCAACTTGTACACTCATCACCGTACGCGGTGTTCTTTATGTGCTTTGGCGTTCATATGGCCGTGTTCTACTTTCCACTCAAATCGCTTACTGAAGAAGACGTCAGGCGATACATGAATCCCCCCGAGATTGACGGTTTCCAACCAGATGTCGTGTGGGGAGATTTCAACTTCAAAGCCCGGAAGTATGGCCACGCATCTACAAATCACAGACTACGTTTGAAAACGATTGAAACTATTCTGCGTAAGACGTGGCACTTGGACTACCTTTATGCTGGCGGCTCAACTGGTACTGAACATGCGTATCATCGACCTACCAGCCCCGCCTCCCTCCAAACTTATAAGCTGACGGACTACGGTATCTGTGGTGACCACACCTTTGGACTCGATCTCCAGATACTTCCCACGAATCAAATCCATCGGCCCCAACAAATACCAGAAATGCCGCCGCCTCCTGACTAACGCCTCCCCTCCCATGGATATAACCGATATCGCCATCGACTGTATCACCTACGCAACAAATCCCGCCCGCAATTATTCCAAGCCGAAATCCGGGCGCATCAGAACCTACTACGGTCGTATCTCACTTTACATGGACCAGCGGAAGGGCTGCTACGAATCCTCGACCGCATCTGGCGCTATGCCACTAACCCACAAATCTTTGGAGGGTTCTATTATGACTTAAACAGACCTTGGGTTCAGCGGCTGCCAAACCACTCGTTCCACCCACGTCTGACCGCCCAAAGCAATGCTCAAATGTTCAAAGATATTGTGTACCAACGACGGTCTCCGCGCCAACCCTGCATACCGGGTACCGATGACACAGGCGCTACCCTCGCTGGCTACTTTGAGGCCCTATTCAACTCTACAAACCCGTACGTGGTTCCACCGGATTTTGAACCCTCTCCGGATGTCACTTCCACCATATGCCCCGACGATGTAACGGAGGCAATACTACGCTATCCCAATAAGGGACCTGGCCCCGACGGGATCCACATCCTCCTCCTGAAGGCCGCAGTGGAGCGCTCTACCGAACGCCGGACATTGGGACGCCCCGACGCCAATAGCCCACTGATTAGACTCCTTGCCGAAGCATTCACTGAGCTACTGAAGGCGGGTACCTTCCCCGCAGCCCTGAACTGTAGCCTCCTAACAGCGCACCCAAAGAAAGCCGATGCAGATATAACCTCCCCCGCCGACTTCCGCCCCATCACGCTTACGCAAATAGTCAGACGCATCTTTGAAAAGTGCTTTCTTAATCTGATTACGAGCCACCCCGGCTCTGCTACCCATGCTCCTCAAGCTGGCTTCAAATCACGGTACTCCTGTCATACCCAAGCACTTGCCGCCATGGAATCTGAGACACAGTCAGAAAAGGAGTGGAACGACGTCTGTCTGGACATAACCAAGGCATACGACAAGGTCGCTCTCCCACGCCTATGGGTACTTCTGCGTCACGCTGGAATGCCCGAAAACTGGATCAACTGCCTCCGCGCGCTGTTTGAGAAGGTCCCTACCCGAGTGACATACCGCGGCACGCTCTCGTCTCTATTCCTTAGAACGAATGGCATCCTACAAGGCTCAATCGTCGGCCCCCAGCTCTTTATTACCCACATGGATTCCTTAGCTGTCACGCTAGCACAATTTCGGCCCAAGCTCCTCCGTTCTTATTTATTTGTCGATGACACACGGATCCAAGCCCCTCGATCGGTTTCGCTCCAGCCCTTCTTAGATGACATTGATGCGTGGGGACGCAAATCTGGCCTCGAACAGGGTGTCATTAAACCCCGAGTACTATCTACCGACTTGCGACACGCGGCGCCAACCCTCCGTATAAATGGTGAGCTTATCACGCCGACGCTTGCAGACGCACCTTGGAACACACGTTACCTCCTCCTGAAACTAGCGCCCACACATGCCGAACCGAAACACTCCAAATACCTGGGGTTCCCACTCTCTCACGGAGTTCCAGAAATCAACCTCGTTAGACATATGGAATCCCTGGTTGCAGCATTGTCACTGGGTATCGCCTCTTTCCGCGCTTATGGCTTCCATGGCTTCAGCTGGCGACACCCCCGCAACCGACTGGTGATGTTCAAAACATTCATCCTATCCACGGCTGAATATGGGCTGAACATTATTGCCTGGGCTCCGCCTATATGGAAGGATGCGTTGGACCCCCTATTCGAGCGCTTTAACTCAGCACTCATTCAAGCA